AAGGTGGGAACACTCAGCGAGGCACAGCTGCGGTCAGAGCTGGGAGAGTTGGTCTTCCCCACACGGAGCTGCTCACACGCACCCCAAATGTGCAGGCATATTCCGCCCTGGGCCTGGCGTGCTCTCCGAGCTGCTGCCCATCGCTCCGGCTAAGCCACCTGCGCGCTCAGTTAGGCCTTGACTGCCTCCCCAGACTCGCTCCTCAGCTCTGACCAGCATCCCTGTGGTCGCAGAGGCCTCTGCCTCATGCTCGGCATGTCCCCAACAGCCCGTTCCATTTCCTCCAATAATCCTGCACTGCTGGGAGCATGCAGCCAGCCCCCCGAGCCAGAGACGACCAGGACGGGACAGTGACACCCCCTTCTTCTGCAGCCACCCCTCCTCTCTGCCCCCGAGCTCTGCCCCAGGTCAGACCTGACATCTCTCTCCTGATCTATCCCAACAGCCTCCTGAAGGCCGGCCAGTCCCCAGTCTCAGTCCCTGATAACCTAACCTAACAGTGGCTTTACTGCAATGCAGGTCTGATCTGTTCGCTGCTTTGCTTGAAATCTTTTGGTTGCTCCTCATTAAACTGTCTCCATGAATGAATTCTGAGGTCACATCCTAACACACAGGCCATTCTTGATGAAGCCAGACCTGTCCAATGTCATCTATCCTTATATCTTTTTTGCCACAAGAAATTCAGTTAAATAATAAAGATTAGGCTAAAGTGTGTTTTTTGGTATTTTTTTCAGCTGTACAGGTTGTTAAATTTAAGCAAACAAGTCAATATTTGCTTTTCCAGTATATAGGCACAATATAAATTACTATCTACTCCCCGCCCCCATAACCCAATAACAAATCAAAAGTTAAAAACCTGCTTCTATAACCTAGCACACACCTGCCTGCGTGGTGTAAAGGCTGGAGAGCTGGGCTGGATTTGGGGCCATGCATGGTTGCTGAGCGCTTAAAATGGGGCAGCACAACTAAGAAAGTGAATTTTAAATTTTGTTTAACTTTAATCAATTTAATTTAAATAGCAACATGTGGCTGCTATGATGGACACAGATCTAGCAGCTGTCCTTTTCTTACTTAAATGTGAATGTTTTAGGAACAAAACGTGTTTTAAGAAATCTAAGGTGAAGCAACGCTACATCTAAGAGCCATTTTAAAATACACATAACATGTACATAATCCTGTTTTTGAAGTTATATTACATGTTTAACAGTGATTATCAAAGAAAAAGAGTCTACGCTCTCCTCAGTCACGAAGGATTTACCTTCCAAGGAAGTCATCCTTGTCTGGGTCTTCATCAAAGAGCTCGATCTCTAATTCCTGTCCGGGATGTTCATAGACCAGAGCCTGAAAGGTAGCAGCTCACAGTTATCTCACATTCACTAGTATCGTGTCTACTGAGTACGTGACTGCAGTCAGCGGCAGCAGCTACACAGCACTGAGGTCCCCGCTGCCGGACCCGACACACTTCTGGATGGCAGGGTCCCTGCTGGGGACCTGTATCCGCGCACACAGCCACGGGCCACTGCGCCTTGTCCCCAGTTACCGGGGGCCACAAGCTTGGATGTCTCTCCACTCCGGCAGTGGCCCCGGTCAGTGCTAGCTGCAGGGTGGCCACAAGTGCCCCACTCACCACCACTCCAAGATTGAGAGATTTGGCAACAGACCAGGCTGGGAGGACGGGAAGCTGATGGGTATAAACTGCACCACTTCTCAGTTCTTTCCAAACCGCATACCTTGTGATGCAGCAATTCCACTCTGAGGAGCGTAATGTGGGGAAAACTTGGCCAAATGCAGAAAACCCACGACACTCATACAGCACTGGTTACAGTGAACCCAAAAGTCCAGATCTCTCTGAGTAAAAACATGATGGTACCTACTCAAGTGAAGAGCTATATTTATTGACATGTAGAGATGTAGTAAATGAAAATCTACAAAACAGTAAATAATCAATCTCATTTTGGAATACGTTTATGTGTATTAAGGGCTAATTATTTACTGTGATAGCTTGACGCGATTAAGGTTTAAAATTTTGTGTGAGGTAGGGATACAAGGTACAATAGTTTTAAAAATGGAAAATGAAAGCAAAGAGAATTGAGATTACCCTGAACTAAATAAGCACACCACGACCCTACAGCAGGAGTGGAACAGGAATGTGGAGAGGGGACGGCAGCAGCACCCACTCCCTCACCTCGTACACCTCGTTCCACTTTGGACTGAGGTTCTCCTTGATGACCTTGCTTTGGAAGATTTGGTTGCCAACTCGAATCACTCCATAGGGGTCTGACTTCCCCTTGACAAGTCCCTTAAGGTAAGTGTCTTTTCCCTGAAGATCCTGAGCTTCAATAAAGTGTATCCTCAGGACACCCTGGAAAGAAGGAAGACAGAGCAGACTGCTCACTGGCTCACCCAACAGACACGGAGCGAAGCCTGTGCACAGGAACCAGGCAGCTCCTCCTCCCTGAGCAAAAAAGGCAAACACGTGATGCCAGGAGCAGCACAACGGGGTCCCAGGGGTCTGACCAGAGCCAGAGACAGGAGGGGCTAGCATGAGCCACCACCTCTTGCAGACTTCTCCTGGGACGGGGGGGTCCCAGAGCGGCACTGTGCCCCAGGGACCCCAGGAGCCCAAGTTGGGCAGGGCAGGACGGCAGGAGGTCAGATGGCACAGGGCCTCATGGGTCACCAAACAGTCCTGTGTTTTGGTAGTTGTAACACTAGTGGCAGCTGCAGTGATAACTAGTGATAACTGGCACTACAGGATGCACGAGACTGTTCCTAAGTCCTTGATATGCAATTACTTTCCAATTACTTCACTGAATTTTTACAACAATCCTGTGAAATACTGTCATTAAACCTATTTTATGGATAGGAAACTGAAAATCTGAGATACATATGACTCACAGACTTAACATAGCTATCTTTTTCAAAAATGTTGTTTAATTGATAAAATTAAAAACCTCCACTCATATTTCTTTCAAGGCAAACACAACCTGTAAAGTTACCTTTAGGAGGGTAGCATTCTACACCACAAAACACTTTTTAAAAAATTACCAGGTAATATTTCTGAACCAACCAGCATAGAAAGATAGACATTTTTACAGATAAATATGCTTTTAAAACCGTAACAAAACAAAATCCCTGGCTTATATTTTCACAGGGCTAAAGCTTAGATAATGTGGCAACAAACATATCTGAGCAGCAGGGAGGCTGGATCCGGGCAGGCTTAGATGGTCACCTGTACTCAGAGAATACAAAGCCTAATGGCCTAGGAGCACGGGGATTTCTATGTGGAAAGGCAGGCCTGCGTTTCCAGAGATGAGAATCCTAAGTTAAGGAAAAAACACATCCCTGTCTCATACGTGGTGTCCCATCACATCTGCTGAATGCCAACAACGTAACTAATTTGGGCATGAATGACTGGGGTGTTGTTACCTGAAAAAATACAGGAATGCTCATGCACGTTTGTTGGTTTGTGCACTGTTACCGCGATCGAATTTACCTAGAAAGAGTAACGGGCAGTGGGGAAAGGCTCGCCACTTCTACTTCAGGAAACAAACACTGAACTAGGACCAGACACCGTGTGACAGGCTGCCCACTCCACTTCTGGAGCCCAAGGTTGGTCAGACCAGACGGGTGGGGTGAAGCCCAGGGGGGAGAAGCCCTTGCTAACTGGGGCCAACCCTCCAGCTCTGTGCCCAGCAGAGGATTCCACGTCCTTGGCCAGCAGGCTCTCACAGTCTCAGACTGAGGTTGTTTAGTTTACTCAAATGAAGGTGACTCCAACATGTGTGACCTGCCTCTGTGTGCAGGGCATCACCCCAACTTACAGATGAAGAAACTGCAGCCCAGACACACCAAGGAATATGCTCCCAAAGTGAAGCTGCTGCCTAACCCCAGGGCTGTGACTCAGCCCCGGCCATGCCCTTCCATCCCACCCAGGGCAGCTGTAACACTAACGACGTGCCTGCCACGTCCCTCACTGAATGACCCCAAAGATGCCCACTTTGTCATATCTGAGGGGAGGCTTGTACAATGTTCCCAGCTTAGGCTGAACTGTTACATCTTGATACATATAAATAGGAAGTGCTTTCTGAGGCAATAAATAAGTTGTCATAGCTGTTCTTTACAACTTGCAATGATATCTGCAGAATTAAATCCCTATGAGCAGCTCTGAGGTTCACAGCTGAGGTTTAAGAACTGTCCTCAAGTCTCTGAAAGTTTTCAGCCAGATGCCCCTTAGCCAATCTCCTAAGGAACAGGGCAGGACAGACCACCTTTACTGCATCAAGATCCATGTGGCAAGGCTGCTGTTACGAGAAATACAAGAAGTCACAACACCCAAGTATGTGAAGAGTTCCTCCAGTCTGTCTGTAAGTGTTAATGAACGGATGCTTACCTTTGGTATAGGAAACCGCAACTGTGCTATTTGAACTTCGCTGACGAGAGGAACTGTGATTCGGTTGGGAAGCACCAGGTAGTTTGATATTATGTCCAAAATGATAGTATCTGACAAACCACTGTTAGGTGGGAGGTAAAGAACAAACAAACCAACTATCAGACACTCCAATACTAGTTATCTCCTGTTAACAGTGAACTTAGCATAGACATGACACAATATCCCACTGACAGCGCGGAGCTAATCCCTCTAACACAGTATTTAAAGCCAGCAGTTTGATACTTTAGATGCAGTAGTGCTACAGTGACGATTATGTGGGATTTATTCTGAGAACACAAGATACTATTCTGGCTATATTTCACAATGTCCTAAATAACATCTCATACATTTCCACATAACTTTATCATTGATTTAATATTGAATAAGATACATTTAAATAAATTTCTTTTTTTTAACATAAACTATTTCAAACACCCATAAAAGTACAGAGAATACCAAAACAAGCATCCATTTATTTACTCATTCCATGTTTATTACATTAAATTTATCTTTCCTAATATATATGCAGAGGTCCCAATGAAGTACAGGAATTTACAGTTCATTCTTTCTTCACACTTTATTTGGGTACTGAATACTGTGATCAATTTGAAATACTATACACCACTGCACAGAGATCTCAGTAGCAAGAATAAAACTGTGGAGGCTAAAGAAACAAATGTACTTTCAATATGCTTTTTGTCTATTCTTTGGTGTAAATGTGAGAATCAAGCAACGTATGTGTGACAGCACTTTTGAAGGCATACGTAAACCAAGTTGCATTGCTACAGAAGGACACCTTTAGCCAGAAGTGCAAAGTTTTCAAAGAACCTTACTTCTTGCCAGTACTTCTCAGATGTTAACATTATGAACATGTAGATGTAAAGTAACTACACACGAAACATCCACTGGGACACAGTGAAAGTGCCGTCATTCACTGAGTGATAACTGAGCCTCACTGCAGGTTGGGGGTCCAAATGCAAGGCCAAGATGCGGAACCTCAGCACAGCACCTTTCAGTCCGACATGGGCAGAAGACAAACCACACACCCACAGACAGCTCCACTCTACTGCTGAAGAGGCCAGTTACTCAGGCGCTAACAGTCCAGGGGGACTCAGAGGGTCTAAGCCGGCAGACACTGGATCAGTGTCCACCAAGCAGAGGATGAGGTGGCCCTTCCAAGCATTAAGACCAAGCATAGTCTTCCTTCAGGCATTTCCCTGCAGAAGTACCAGTTTTGTTTATATTGAAAAATCTGTTGAAACAGAAGACCCCTCACTGATGACATAAATGTTTCAAGAATCCCTTAGCTGCTATGGTGGTCGGCCACCGCCTCACCTCTCTCTAACGCCTATGGTGCCAGCACAAGGCTCAGCTAGGCAGCCCCACCCGCGGGCTCCCAAGTGGGGCTGGGCATCCTCTGAGCCGCTCTGCTCGTCCTGACTACGCCGGGGCTCAGCACACTTCCACTGTGTCCCACCCTTCTGGGCCGTTGGAACCGACCCTGCGCATCACCCTACTTCTGTTTCTGTCACAACGTTCATCCCTTCAACACTCAGTTTATGGCTCTTCGTTGAAAAATGGTAAGGATAGCTAAAATTCGTGGTAAAGTAAAGTGATTCAGGCATTACTGCTACTTTATGATACCTTGGATTCTGTTTTGTAGTCAATGGATAGAGCATGTAGATGTTCATTTTGTAAAGCTTGGAGCAAGATTTCATTACGTTAGGTTCAAAGTTATTAAATATCTATTTTTATAAGACAAGGCTTGCCACAGCTGTGAGCTGTTTGACAAAATCTTTGAGAAATAGTAGCCCAAGTTTTACGTTAAGTAGATATGTGTATATTTATCACATAAAATTTACATAATTATGTACCATATATAAATATATATAATTTAAAAGGGGTATTTTACCATATCTCTTTTATACCATAGTCTCATTTTTGAATGGTGTCTATTTCCGTCTGTATTTCTAATATATATGAGTATATATTGATACTTTTAATGACAAATGCAATCCTATACATGATGAATATAGAAGAATAGGTTTTATATACTGTATATATGAAAACCCATATATAAAACAACAGCTGGAAGTTATTACTACACAAAAAGAGCCTGCCTTCATATAAAATCATGCAATGAAATGGCGCTGTATTTGTATGTGTGCGTCGTGCCAGTGTGCATGCATTTCTCCCTTCTAGCTGAATGCTCTGGGACTGACCCCCGAGCTGTGCTGCAGGCTCGTGCGGCAGAGCCCGCCCTCTGGCTCTCTACAGGGAGCCAGCACAACAGGGCCTGCAGGGCAGATGCTCCACAAACCCCGCCCAGGACGCAGAGGGGAGGGAAGCAGACCACACTCTTCTACAGTAAACGACAGCAGGGATTTGTCGCTTTTGCCAGCTCAGCAGCACCCTCTCCTCCGACTTCTGGAACCCTTCCTTGGGGGGGCCCCCCGCCCCCCCTTCACTGGAGCTTCTTCAAGCACTTCTCTGCCTCCTCTCAGCGTGGGCACGACGCCCAACCTGATCCTCAGAACCAGGAGAGTCTGTCCAAGGACAGGCAGACAAACAGAAGTCAACCCTAGAACTTTTGCTGCAACTCATGGGAAAAGGTTCTTTTTCCAACTGAGGCTGCTGAGCATGTGGAATAGAAGCTAGAAGCTGCTACTTCACAGCAAGAGTCTGCCTGGCAACAAAGCCACACACAGAAAAGCAGAGTCAGGAGCCGTCCTGTGGATGCCAGCACCTGGCTGTGCCTGGCTACCCGACAGGGCCACAGGCCTCTCGGAGACACCAGCCACGGCTGGCACTCACAGCAGGCACTCCGTACCCATTTGTCGGATGAGTGAATAGACTGACTCTAAAAAACAGTATTTGTTTACTCAATTATTTACTCACTTAATGAAGACCAGGTAAGTTGGGTTTGTTGTTGCAAGCAAGAATCCTAATCAACACTTTAACAAAACTCTTTTAAAGTTGTCCTCTCGTTCCAAAAGTCTTTTAAAGATAACAGTATTTTTCTATATCCAATAAACCACAGCACCTAAAAAAGACTTTTATTGTTATGACTATGCCTCAGTGTAGTCTTAATTTTTCCCTTATAATGAAACAAAATAAAATTCTTTCTAATGGCCATTTCAAGGGCATAAACAAATACACGGGAAGAGAAAAAAACAGATTGAAACCAAGGCTTTTGTATTTCAATTTTTAAGGGGGAACCCCCCCCCCACAGATTAGCAGTGTCCACTAGAAACATATGTAACTTTAACCAACAAGCAACACACTTTAACCTTCAAATGCAACAGTGAAACCAGCAGAAGCAGGCTTGGTGGCTGCAGCCTCAGACCTTCCTGCTCAGAGGTGGCTAACAGGTCTGCCGCCACCGCCTTCCACCTCGGAGGACAGATGGACTCTGTGACGCGACTGGGAAGCCTCACTTCTCTCATAGGCGGGACAAGCCCTGAAGGGCTTCACATGCTCGTGGTGGAAGGTTGCCTTGTGTTTCAGACACTAGGGTACACGGAACAATGAGGGCCTCCCAGCCACACGATGCAGCTCCCAGGTCCAGGGCTGACACCTACCCCTCCAAGGAGGCGCGGGTCAAGGCACAGAAGGCAGAAAGGGAAGGCGCAGCACAGCTGGAAAAGATTCCAGAAAGGGCTGGTTTTGAAACATATAAGCTTGAAAACTTTTTAAAGTTTTCTTTAATTTTCTAGGATATTAAAACACCAAAACTGGAAAGACACCTCATGACTAATGAAAAGGCTCCACCTAGTCCTAACAGGGCTCTCATGCAGCTCTGACCCAGAGCCTCAGATGGGGCGACAACACCAGAGCCCAAGAGAGCCTGCCCAGAAAGCGTGGACCATGCTCGGAAGACACAGCTCTCAAACATCTGTGTCGTCTTCGCGACACTGGAAACGCACACGACACCACCAGCAAGCTACCCACAGGACGTGACAGAGTACTTACTTCAATCCCGGGATATCGAGAAGATTAGTCAGTCCTGTCCAATTAATTTCTAAAAGCTGTTTTAAAGAAAGGGCAAAAATATTAAGTATGCAAATTATTTCCAATTATCATATCAAATCATGCAGGTTTGTTTCTTTATAAATGAAATGGGTTAGGTACATAATACTGTCCTATACCTTGTTTTTCACTTTGTAAAACATCAAGGCCGTTGTCCCTTGTTGGTATAGATACCTTGCCTGTTCTTGTTTTGTTCTTTTGATGTCATAATTTAGTCCAGTAATATCATAATTATTTATATACCCATCCTCCTATTGACAAGCACGTAGAATATTTACAATTTCTCTTTTATTGTAAGTAATGAATCAGTGAATATCTTTGTACACACGTGTTGTTACATACACATGGAGACTAGCATTCAAAAAGTGGAAGTTCTGGTCAAAGATACATGTTCATTTTTTATGTTGATAGATGCTACATAATTGCCCTAATATTGTACAAACTTACATTCCCATCAAAACTGTATAAAATGTCCTTTCTTTACACCCTATTAAAAATCATATTTTACACCTATATTAAAAATCAGTGTATCCAGCAGTAAAAGAATGGTACTTCATCACTGTTTCAGTCTGCATATTCCTACATTAGTGGGACACGTTCCGTTCATTCATTCAACATCTGTATTTTATTGCTCATTTTTCTAGTGGGTATTTATCTTAGAATAATTCCTATATAGTTGGCTGAGATTCTATTAAACGGATGTGGACAGGTAAAAAGCACTGATTGGAAACACTGCTTTTCCTGTCAAGATGGATACTGCACGTAACGAAATTCCTTGTGCTTTATATTGTAGTAGACGCTGAGTGAAACAGCATGACCTCTATTACCCATATAGCTGGAGTGACAAAGCTGGGGAGTAGGTGGTTATAAATATGAACTGGAAGGTTCAAGACTCTTTCGGACAGAGCAAAACTCAAAAGCAACAACTTTAATAAAGTCCTGAAACACTAACCTCCCTAGGACTCCCTATAGCACCCTGACTATGATCTCTAAACGCATTTTCCACTAAAAGAAACAGGGGATTTTGAAGAAATGGCTGATTCCAGGTCTGGGACAAAAACTGTTAACGTGAGCCTGGGGCATCCTGCT